GTTTTCGCACTCAAGATTTGGCGACACTACCTCTATGGTGAAAAGTGTACCATCTACACCGATCACAAGAGTTTGAAGTATTTCTTCACTCAAAAAGATTTGAACATGAGGCAACGAAGATGGCTCGAACTAGTCAAAGATTACGACTGTGAAATACTCTACCACCCCGGCAAAGCAAATGTGGTCGCCGACGCACTTAGCCGCAAATCGATCAACGCCCTCATAGTCCAACCTAACTTGGGAGAATCGATCAAATCAGCCCAACAAAACGACCCTCAAATTCTCAAAATCCGCAATAACCTCGAATCCAATCCCAATTTTCAAATCTCCAAAGATGGTCTCGTCCGATTCCAAAATCGCATTTACGTCCCCGACGACTCAAGCGTTCGCCGACTAATCTTAACCGAAGCTCACCAAACCACGTACACTTGCCATCCCGGAGAAACCAAAATGTACCAAGACCTCAAAAAGCTCTACTGGTGGCCTGGAATGAAGAGAGACGTGGCCCGATTCGTAGCAGAATGCCTAGTGTGCCAGCAAGTCAAAGCGGAACATCAAAGACCCGGAGGTTTACTTCAATCGAATCTAATTCCGGAATGGAAATGGGAAGCTATCACAATGGACTTTGTGCAAGGATTTCCGAAGACCCAAAAAGGATTCGACGCCATTTGGGTGATCGTTGACCGACTGACCAAAACAGCTCACTTTCTTCCGATCCGAATGACGTTCAGTTTAGAAAAGCTGACCGAACTATACGTCCGCGAGATAGTCCGACTCCACGGTGTTCCCGTCTCAATTATTTCCGACCGAGACCCTCGTTTCACGTCCAAATTTTGGAAAAGCTTACACGAAACCCTCGGAACGCGATTAAACTTTAGCACCGCCTATCACCCCCAAACCGACGGCCAATCCGAGCGCACTATCAAAACCCTAGAAGATCTTCTCCGCGCTTGTATTCTCGACTTTGGAGGAAATTGGGAATCCCGCCTTCCACTAATCGAATTCGCGTACAACAATAGCTTTCACTCGTCGATTGGAATGGCACCTTACGAAGCTCTTTACGGCCGCAAGTGTAGGTCCCCGCTCCATTGGGACGAAATCGGCGAAAGAAAATTCCTTGGTCCCGACCTAGTCCAACAAACCGTCGATATCATCAAAAGCATCCGAGAGAAAATGCGAATAGCCCAAGATCGACAACAAAGCTATGCCAACACTCGAAGGAGAGATCTCGAATTCGAAGTCGGAGACTCCGTATTCTTAAAAGTGGCGCCTTTCAAAGGAGTTATGCGATTTGGGAAAAAGGAAAAATTAGCACCGCGATTTATTGGCCCATTCGAAATTCTCGACAAAGTTGGTACTCGCGCATACCGACTCGCCTTACCACCCAACTTATCCAACTTTCACAATGTCTTCCACGTTTCAATGCTTCGGAAATACATTCGCAGCCCCGACCACATATTGAAAACCGAACCGGTCGAACTAAACCCTAACCTATCCTACGAAGAGAAACCTTCTCAAATACTTGATTTCAAAACCAAAACCCTTCGAAACCGAGACCTTAAATTCGTTAAGATCCTTTGGCAAAACCATACACCCGAAGAAGCCACGTGGGAACGAGAAGAAGAAATGCGCGAGCGATACCCCGAGTTGTTCAGGTAACAATTTTGGGGACAAAATTTCTTTAAGGGGGGGAGATTGTAACACCCCACCTTTCCAACACCCGAAAACCCTAAAACCCGAGACTAATATTTCTAACTCGATGACCCTTAGGAAATATTATTACGTGATTAAATGCATTACGTGAATTTAATTATGTTACTTACGTGAATAATTACGTGCGCTATCATATATGTGATTTATATGATTTAAATTCCCGTAAATTGAAATTCTAGGAATTTCGTGAATTACGTGACTTATGTGAATTATATTTTATAAAGTGTGATTACATATATATACATATAGGTATGAATTTTCATGCATCTATATACATATATATATTTATATATATACTAATAATACTTGATGCATATATATATGTGTGTGGCCGTGTAAATGTGTGTGTAGTTAATGCAAGTTGTGTTTATTTCTAAATAAAATAATTAGTGATAAGCATGCATGCCTTTACACTTGGCACCCCCTAATAATTTCTCTAAACCCACACTCAAAGTAACCCAAAAGACACCCTTCATCTTTCTTCTTCCAACACCTCAACCCCTTACTTGTCTTCTCCATTTTTCTCCACCGTAGCAACATCACCACCTCCATTCTTCTCCTTCTTCCACCTCATCTCTTGTTTTTCAAAGAAAATGAAAAATCCCTTGAAAATTTCCCTATTTAACCATGGTTATGGAGCAGCCTAGATCACCATATTCATCAAAGAAATACACATCTCCCTTAAAAATCCATTCCATCTCCTTCACCATCAAAATAGTTTGGCAAGAGCTTGGCATCAACCTTTGAAGCATTTCCTTCGATTTTCCTCCATCTTTTCTTTCGGCTTCTTAAGGTAAGAAATTCGATTTCTTGCTGCAATTAAGGGACATCAATAGTATTGAAAAGATTTTCATGAAATTTTAAAAGATTGGGGAAGATTTCGAAAATTTAGGGCTTTTTGAAGAAAAATGGAAAATGAGTGTTTCTTGTTAAATTCTTGTTCTTGCATCATCTATGTTGATAGGGTTAGATACAACTTTTATTGGCCAAAAGCCTTAAAAATTTCAGATTTCAAAAAGGGGTTTTCAAGGAAAATGAAATTTTAACTTTTTGTGGTTGCATGTGTAGACCTTCGAAAGTTTGGGCCGAATCTGTAATTTTTGTAAAGTCTGGCCGAAAAATGTTTTCAAAACTGTTTTCCAGCATTTATTGAACAAAAATTTCGGATTTAAAGAATTTTTGTAAGAAAAAGTTGATTTGGAAATTCTAGTAGGCTTGCTTGTGTAGATCTAGAAATTTTGGGGCAAATTATGTAATTTCCGAAATTTCTGCATAAAGTAACTTTTCAAATTCATTTTCTGCATCTAGTAAAGTGGAATTTCAGATTTGTTAGGGGTTTTCATGAAAAAGGTGATTTTGAACTTCTAGTGTGGTTGCATGTGTAAATTTCGAAACTTTTGGGTCAAAACTGCAATTTCCGAAAAAATCTCTCATTTTTAAAGTTTGGATCTGTTTTTCAGTAAGTATTAGATAGGAAAAAGTTTTATTTAACAAGTTTTTAAATTTATTAGAGTTATGTTAGAGTTTTGGATTTTTAATTGAAAAAGGGATTTTCCTAGTTTTTAATTTCAAGAAAATTCGAAACTTTGTGAAAATTCAAATTTATTTCAGAATCTGGAAATTTAGTCATTTAGGAGTCCTGGGATTTAATTTGAGAATTTTTGGAATTAGTTTGCTATTATTTCGAAATTAGGATAACTTGCATGTCATTTATTATGTTTTGTGCTTTTATTTTCATGTCTTTGATTTAATGACTTTGAGTGATGAGATTTGGATTGTGTACCTTAAATGGCTGCATGGATGTGTTTATTATTGCTGTGAGAATTTATTGGAATGGATTATTACCTAGATGTGGTGATAAGTTCATTTAATGAAAGGTAAAAAGGGGTGCTTACTTTACAAGCATGGTTTCATATTAAATGGTGATGTTTAGTGTGTTGGCTGTATGTGTGTGTGCTGAATGTGTGTGTGTGTGTGTGCTGAATGTGCATGTGGTGTGTGCCGTGTGTGGTTGTGTGTTTATATGTGTGAATTTGGGGATTCTTGCCCAAATTATAATTGTGTGGTAAATTGTGATATTTGTGTGACTTTGTGGCACTTGATTGATGTTTGTGATGTTATGTGTGGGTCATAAGCATGATTTCGAAAAGTTGCATTAAAAGGTTTTTAAATTGAAAGATTAATGGAATATCGGGTAATAAACAACTCGGATATAGTGGGCCGGTATCCAACTAGGATGATGTGTGTAGTGGTTTGATCCCCACTTAGTGAAAACGGGCTCGTAACAGGTTTATTATCCAGGTACAGAAATTAATCTTTCACGGATCCGATAAAACGAAAAATGTGTTTTTCATGATTTTTACAAAAAGGGCATTTTAGTCATTTTGCATAAGTAAGTGATTTTGTGTGAGTGTTGTGTTTTCGTGAGTTATGTGATTTTATTGTCTTGTGTTGTGGTACGGAACGTGGGTAAGAATGGGTATATAATATTATATATTATATATAACGTATTTTCAAAGTTCGATATTTACTCGGATTCCTTACTGAGCTTTATAGCTCATATAGATGTCTTTTGATTGCAGGTAGTAGTAATCCTCAACCAGGATGGATCGAGTAGTGAATCGAGGTCTTGCCCGGGATTTTGGAAGACGTACGAGGACCTATGAACGATGCTAGACTTTTGGTTATTTTCTTTTGGTGGTGTAACCCTAAACCGTAACATTTCTCTTTTCGTACTTAATTCCTACTTTAATATCATAAGTTTCGTAATGTGCTATTCTTCATGCCTTCATTAGAAAACTTCGAATCAATCGCCAAAATAACCTTTTTGAACTCTGATTTATTCTCGAACCGAAAAGAATGTTTAGTGAGAATGTAGCACTCGAATAAGAAACCTCCTTTCGAAACTTATTTCCAAACCAAGCTTTGTATTCGGCTATATCAATCCAACAAAGTTTTCGAAAATGCAAAGCCTTCAACACTCAAAAGAACATATTTTTATTAATTGCATTTTCACCCCATTCCAATGTCTCAAAAAATTACAAAGAGATCCTTTGCTTCCGCTAGTTTAATAAATATTCCGATAAACCGGTTCGATTTATCGCCCATCTAGAAGGGGGGTGCTACAGAGAGTGGTATCAGAGCATGGTTCATAGATACTCGTACGAACTTCACGGGCTTAGAGACTACTCGAGACGCAAGGCTCGAACCATCCGGTATAGTATGTGTATTATTTTCTTTATGTGTTTTATTTGCTTTACTTATTAATGATAATTAATATAGAGATAATGGCGAGACGTATAACCCGAGGAAACTCGAGCACTCCCACCAATGAACCACAAGACCCCAATCAAACCATTAACGATCTTTCCAACTTAATCCGTGAACAAGCCCAAAACCACCAACGCCAAATCGAACAACTCCTCCAGCGTAACCAAACCCCGCCTCAAAATAATGCGCCTCAAGCCATATACGAACGATTCCTCCGAATGAACCCATCCGAATTCCACGGTGGAACCGACCCCACCATAGCCGAAGAGTGGATCAAATCTCTCGAAGTCATATACGATTACATGCAAATGACCGACCGCGACCGCGTGCACTGTGCCATATTCCTACTCCGAAACGAAGCTCGTCACTGGTGGGAAGGAATCAAGGAAGGAACGAATCTCGAAACTCTGCCATGGACCGATTTCAAAGTCCAATTCTTCGAAAAATATTTCTCGAAAGACGTACGAGCCCACAAACTCAAAGAATTTCTCGAACTCCGACAAGGCGACTTACCAATGATCGAGTACATCCGCCGCTTCGAACGTGGCTGCCTCTACGCTCCGTTCATCGCTCGAGACGCCGAGGAAAAGAAGAACCATTTCATTCGTGGCCTCCAACCCGAAATCCGTAGGGACATCCGTATGTCCGACGCTTCAACTTTCCGCCAACTCGTAGACAAAGCACTCATGGCTGCCCAAGACGAGGGAGAAATTCAAAACAAACGTCGAGCGACACCAAACTTCCAACGCCCGTGGAAAAAGAACAACTTTGGCAACCGTCCATTCCGAGGAAAAGGAACGCAGCCCATTCGCCAATCAACTGGACCACCGCCACCGCCGCCACGGCCAACCTGCCCAAGATGTGGAAAGAGTCACCTCGGAGAATGCATCCAAGGAACGAGGAATTGCTTCCGATGCCATCAGCCCGGACACATGGTAAAAGATTGCCCGAAACCTCCACCGAACGTCCCCGGTCGAGTGTTCGCCATGACTCAAGAACAGATCGAGCAAGACCCGTCTATGATAGCAGGTACCATATTTATCCTCGAAGAACCCATTTACGCTCTTATCGATTCCGGCTCTACTCATTCCTTTATATCGAAAGACATAATTGCGCATTTAAATCTCCAAACGAATCAACTAAACTACGAATACCGAATCCTCATTCCCTCTGGCGAAGAGATGTGCTCTAACCTAGTCATACTAAATTGCCCAATCCGAGTTCATACTCAAACCATGAATTTCGATCTAATCCTCCTACCGATCCAAAAATTCAAAGTTATACTAGGCATGGATTGGTTAACCAAATTCAAAGCCCAAATCGACTGTGCCTCAAAAACGGTCATTTTTCCCCTTCCGAACGGCGAAACCCTAAAATTCCAAAGTCAACCCAAAACCTCGATTCCAATTATATCCGCGATCAAGGCAGTTAAACTTATTCACAAGGGTCATTCCGGCTATTTAGTGGATATTCTAAAATCCGAGTCCGATCCCGAAACCCAAATATCCGATATTCGAGCCGTGCAAGAATTCCCCGACGTATTTCCCGATGATATTCCCGGACTTCCACCCAATCGAGAAATCGAGTTCGAAATCAATCTAATTCCCGGAGCTACGCCAATTTCCAAAGCCCCGTACCGTATGGCCCCGATGGAGTTGAAGGAGCTAAAAGACCAAGTGCAAGAATTTCTCGACAAAGGCTATGTTCGACCCAGCCATTCCCCGTGGGGCGCACCGGTTCTCTTTGTCAAAAAGAAAGACGGATCCCTTCGCCTTTGCATCGATTACCGTGAGCTCAACAAAGTCACAATCAAGAATAAATATCCTCTCCCTCGAATTGATGATCTCTTCGACCAACTTCAAGGTTCCTCAGTCTTCTCGAAAATAGATCTCCGATCCGGCTATCACCAACTCAAAATCAAAGAATCCGATATCCCCAAAACCGCTTTCAGAACCCGATACGGCCATTATGAATTCGTTGTCATGCCCTTCGGTCTAACCAACGCCCCCGCAGCTTTCATGGACCTTATGAACCGAGTCTTTCATCAATACTTGGACCAGTTCGTGATTGTCTTTATCGACGACATTCTCATCTACTCCAAAACCCCCCTCATTTCGAATTTATTTTGACATACCTCCCTGGGCTACCCTGAAGTTCCTATAATACCCTTCTAAAATCAGTTTTAAACCCTAGCCACTCACGGTCTCTCTCTTCTTCTCTCCCAAATTCAAAATTCCGCCTCCACAAACCTCCCACCGGCGAAATTGCTTCCCGGAGCCATAACTGTATCTCCGGTGGTCAGAATTCGATGGTTTAACTACCATTGGATTCCTCTCGTCGAGCTCTTTCTTTTGTTGGTGATTTCATTCAGTTTTGAACGCTGATCTGTTTCTGAATTTTTTTTTTCATTCGAGGACGGTGGTCTTGCCGGAGCTTTATTTTGTGTTCCACCCGTCGAAATTTGACGGGTCACCCACCGTTGGATTCCTCTCGTCGGGATCTAATTTTGATGGTAATTTCGTTTATTTTTATGTTTTCAGATTTATTTCTATATTTGTTGCATTTGTGGGCGCGCGGAACCGTTGGTGTTTATTAGCGGCGTCTAGGATTTTGGTAGGAGGCGAGGCGGTGAGGAGTCACTGTCTGTTTGATTTAAAATCTGTAGCATTTCCCAGCAATAACCTCTCTCTCTATCTCTCGATCTGTTAATGTTTGGTGATTTTTGAGTGTTTTGATATGTTTTTCTTCAAATTTGTTGATTTGCACTAAAGTAATTTCTTTTTGTTTTGTTTTTGCAATTGCAGCTTAATGAAGGTCATTGATCCTTTCCTTGAAGGTGTCAATTTTTTTTTTTGAAGTTACATCAGATTTGTTCAACATACTGTATATATTACTATACATTACTATAGTAACATGTAGTTACATATGCGTATATTTGTATATTTTTGATTTGTATTTTATTGGTTCTGATGTGATTTAGAATAAAAATATTTAAATTTGTAAATTTTTGTTGGGGTTTTATGAATTTATTTTGTATAAGTCAGCATTCGTGTGTATACAATTGATCGACTAAAAATACGGGGAAAAAAACGAACATAACTATGAATTAGGGGTGAGCAAGTCGGACCCATCAACCATACACCCGTCAAACCCGTGAAAAACCGCCCCGTTGGGACCGGACGGATAGATCCATCTATAGGATTGGGTCCTAAAATGGTGAAGAACCGTGGGTTTGGGTCTTAGACGGGTTCAATTTTTTTTAATACCCGTGAAACCCGTCCCGGCCCGCCATACAAAACGACGTCGTTTTGTTTACATTATATAGTATAATAAATTAATAATATTAATGAATAAATAAAGTATCTCTAGTGTATCAAATACATAAATCAACTACTCTATAATTGTGGAAATAATAGCTATAAAGATTATGAAAATCTCTAAGAAAATGTAGCAAAAAAAACATATATATATATATACAACGGTCAACACAGAGCAGAAAAAAAAAGAAAATGGTGCTGAATAGCGTTGGTTATGCTTGAAAAAACTATATTTATTTTATTTAAATTTTGTCTTTTGAGTTATGAATTAGTTATTTTTAGTTTTATATTAATTTTTATTTACTCTTGACATTTACATTATTTATGTTTGGTTTGAATTTAAAATTTTAGCTTATTCATTTTAGTTTCTAATTATTCTCCCGTAAAACTTATAAATTATATATAAAAAAAATAGTTTAGATGATAACGGGTTTCGACCCGTAAAGGTTGGGTTCTACTACAAACCCGCCATGGACCCGCCTATTGTAAACCCGTTGAAAACCCACAAGTTTGGTTCTTCAAAATCAAGAACCGTTGTTTGACGGGACGAGGGCGGGTTTTGATAGAACCCGCGGGTTTATGGCCCGCGCACACCCCTACTATGAATTACTATAGGTACTATAGTTACATGTGCTTATTTTCAGTACTGTAAACATATTGTTTTGAAAATTAAAAAAAAAAATTAAAAAAATAAAATAAAAAAGAAAATAATTTTTTTTAATTTAAAAATAATTTAAAAATTAAAAAATTAAAAAATTAAATATATATATATATATATATATATATATATATATATATATATATCTATATGTATATATATATATATGTATATATATATCTATCTATCTCGCCATA